CGCCGATTCACGGCGGGAGTGCAATACATCGATTTACGAAAATATATGTACAGTTTGGTCCGAACCAATTTGTGATCAGTGCCACACTCAGCTCCACGCAGTACACGTGTCATGCGCACTTCACGCGTATCAAGCTGACGTACGATGACATAGTCGAGTAGGTGAGCGTGACCACTCCGTGGGTGCGTCCAAGTTGCTATATCACTCGCACTCAGTGCAAACCGAGTGTTCGTGATCGTGAGTGGCCGTGAGTGGCGCACAGTGAGAGCAGCGGGTCACCGTTCGCATTCGCTGAGCGAATGCCATGCGCACCGATGACATCTGGCCACGCTGATGCATCACGCCCAATGCGCGCATTGAAATCACCCAGCAGAAATAGTCGGTCGCTCCTCGGCACAGACCGTATCACGGATGATAGCTCAGTGTAGAACTGATCACGCGTGTCATCCGGATAGCACATGGTCGGACGGTACGTGCTTATAAAAGTAGCAAACTTACCTCTTCCGAGTCATAGGCAAACAGTCATCAGTCGCGCGCTGATGCCTGTTGATACACCCACCAGCTGGCCATGGAGGCGATCGGATATTGCAAATCCGACCCCATGTTCACGTGGAGCTGAGGCGGCGTTGCCCACCCAGTAGAATGTGTAGCCAGCACCTGCTTCCTGCAAGTTACCTTGCTCAGCGAGCCGAGTTTCACTGAGCGCCGCAATATCGATGTTGTAGCGCGCCAGCTCCATCGCGACCAGTGCAGTGCGTCGCTCCGGGCGCTTACTGGAGTCTCGGTCCAGTAGTGTGCGCACGTTCCAGCATCCGATGTTGAGTGCTTTGCGCGCAGGCAGACGATTGCATTGGTGGGCAATCGCACGCGAGGTGGTCGTTGTGCTTCGGAGGTTTGCTTGAGGGATTCCACCCGGAGCCTTTGGCTCAATAGCCTGACCCACAAGGCAGTGGAGAGCAGATCCAGCTCGGGAATGTGATTGCAGAGACAGATTGGGATCTGCTTGACGGCCGTCACACGCAGCCTTTGAGGTTCTGGAACGTTTTATATATGTTTTGCGACCGTAGTAGGATACGCACTTGCGGCCACGGCCAGACGCAGGTGCCTTTTCGCGGGTTTGCACCAATTTGACCAGGGGCCGCCTGGCTTGAGGCAGGCGGTAGCAAACCATTGAACACCCGGAGGTGTCCTCCCACCGTAAGAGATAATGCGTGGCACTCGTGCTCTACGCCAATCGAGCTGTGAGAATATCACCCGTAAACCTGTTGTTTCCCATGGCTAGGTTTTACGGGAAGAGGGCCATCGACCACTTCCTACCCTCGGGAGAGGATGGACTAGGATACTGCCAGGGCGCCCACACCTGACAGGAGAACGACTCGGGTCCTCAGCCAAAGCCTTCGATTAAATATACACCCGAAAGGCAGCGGGTCTAGCACATGGTCAGTTAGCCGACTCCTGCGGATTGGTGTCCTGGATATTAGCAGGGAGAAGGGCGAAACGCAAATCCCACCCAGCGGTCGCCACGTGGAGGCGCCCAGGACATGAGACTATGGCGCGACAGTAGCAGCAGTGGGTAGACCATCTGTCAGGATCTAGCCACCACCAGCCTCAGTGCACCATAGGCTCTCACGCCCATTATAAATATACTAACCTCTAATCTACCATATCTTTTGTACTGATGATTACCCAAGCTGGCTATATTTCCAGGTCAAGCGAAATGTCGCAGGGAACATTGATTGCCTCAACTCTCATTGAGTGAAATGCAACAAGCTCGATATTTGGTCTTTCTTTTCGGAGTACTTTGCAATCCCTACTATGAGCACAGCTGATTGACAGGCAAGCGTGGTCACTGGTTCCTATGATGGATCATAATCAAAGTCGCTAACAAATTCGCTTAAATTTGCGAAGAGCAGATCCAAGAGGGACGGTGTCCGATTGTCCATGATGCCGGGGGTTGATCTACGAGCTGGTGCAATATACTCCCAGTGCTACGTCAACTAGCTCAGCTGCCAAACCTCCAGACATTCCGGTCGAGAGTTTCAGCCAAGTTACTTCGAATACATTGAAATCACCCATAAGCAAACACCTGTTCCCTGAGTGATTGCAAATACAATCAAAGAAGAATCTTGAGGCGCTTTCATGGTTCCTGTGGATTATCAGTACTTTAAACCGCACGGATTGGATAACTAATTCAACCATAGATGCTTAAGGCTTTTTCAGAAGAGCTAAACGTGCTTGTTTTCAAAACATTGCTACCATAACTGACGTATAATGGAACCCTTCCACCCACGACGGTCGGGAGAGCGGTCAGCACTCCATAGTGCATAGCCTGGTTAGTATACCTCATTTGGTCATGACATCGCAATACAGACAAGTTTCACTGAAGGCGAGCATATCCGAATAGAAATTATCAACCAAAGGACCCACCTTGCCCGTTGTCATTTGTGGACTACCCTCGTTATTGAGCACTATTTGAAAGAAGGTGCTATGCCGACCCCGGAATACCCACCAACTGTAGACTCTTTTCACCCGCACCGTGACGAGCTTAGATTTTGTACGGTCTTCTACAGCTTTAACCTCACAGTTAAAAGCAGGTCTGGCTGGAGTCTGACTCTTAAATTCTTTAGCTTAAAGTCAAAACGCAGCAGCACTTTGGGTCGTTTTGGTGTAAAACGAACGACCAGCAGTAGAGGAGGCCGATCGCTCGTATCTCCGACTGGAAGGTTTCCCAGTCTGATTAGCTTTCTAACAGTAACCCCAGAAAACCGGGCGGAAGGAGTCTAAATTAACACGCCTTCAATCACTTGGGGGTCATCGAGCTTTCGTACTTTGGGAACTTCAACCGGAGATTCCTCAACGTTTTTAAAAATAACGCTACTATCGGTAAATGAGTCGCTATGCCGAGGAGTATTTACAGCACATGTTATGGACACAGCGTCTGGCAATGCAGGAGTCGGTTTATTCGATTGTGAAGACGTAGTATTCGCACATTTTGGACGCTGCGATCTTGGGGTAAAGAGTACTGGTTCGATGGCTACGGGAGCAGAGTACTATCGAAATTATCGACACGCTCTATGATTCATACATAGAATAAATCGTTGATTTCCTTTTCGTCGCTTTCATTTGACAGATGCAAACGACACAAGTACTTCTTCGCTCAGAGAAGGACAAACTATCCATCTATACCTGTATGCTTGACATCAACGGGTGCCCTCACAGTAGTCGGAATATACATTCCGTTCATGGGTTCAGCAGAATCCTAACTTGTCACTTTTTCCATAGCACTTATGATTCCTTTCCTACCTGCAATCCTATCAATCTTCGCTGCATGCAATGGAACCTAGAGATTACTGTTTTAATAATACAATTTTGGAATGCGAAATATTGCCTTTTACGATGACAACAGTCAGAGCCGCTAAATAGCAGGGCTTCACTGTCGAAAAAGGGGGCGTAACGCCTCTGATGCAAGCCAGTGCACGCTTCATGAAACCAGTGGATGCAAATGTCACACCGGATTCCACCTGACGAGTCAGTGACTAATTCGGAGCATTTCTGTTTGCCATAGAGTACTGCCAAGTTAAAAAGAAAGGTTTTAGATCTTATTTTTCTCTTTGCTTTTGTAAGCCTGGCGTTAAACTTCAAGCATTGGTTGAGATTAGTAAACGCTGTGGTTGCTTGTTCTTTCTCAACTCGTAGATAATACCCATAGGAATATTACAAAAATAAGGCGATTTTGAAGAGGGCTCTGAACGACAAATAAAATCAGACTAATACGTTTAGAAGGATAACTTGGATAAGCGTAAGCTAATGAAAGCTGAAACGAAAGTGGTTGAGTCATTTTAATGCGTCGCACTGTGACTTAGCTGGGAAAGGAGAAGCAGACTGCTGAGGAGTTATTTATGCATACATACAGGCTACATCACTTGGGTCACCAGTTGCATGCGATTTCTGCGAGAGAAATACAACCTTCATTGAAACAAATATCCTGTTTCGTGCAAAATATAACTGCTGAGTTAACGAGTAGAACAGCCGGCGTGTAGGACTGACAAATTCACGAGGAATGATTACGTATGATCTATGCCAAGGATGGTCACAACTTCTCACTTGATGGGAAATATACCCATTATTATTATTATTATTATTATTATTATTATTATAGTAGTAGTAGTAGTAGTAGCAGCAGTAGTAGTAGTATATGTCTCCACTTTGATAATCCTGTTTGCCCGCTCCGTTTGTGTATGACGGAGGCCAGTAATTGTTTTGCAATTATTACGATGATCTGGAACCGATATACAATGATTGTAGGATAAAAGTCAAGATCTCCAAATTGCATAACCACAGACAAATGTCATATGAGGAAGCGAAGCATTCTAGGATGTTTAAACCCCACGGCTGTAACATATTTTTGGTGCCAGGAAGTGAAAACGGAAGTACGTGTAACTTTATCCAGCGAAAACGAGTTGCATCGTGAGAAATTTATGCTTCAAGATCGTTGACCATGGCAGCGCGCCACCTTGAGTATCAAATACGTCCAGGTTCACTTGACCCACACCTATCTTTTGGACTGTTTGCCCCAGGTGACTGGGGTAACATGTGTCCCCCCCACCAGAGCCGTCCGATAACAACAAGTGAAGGTACTTTTCATGCGTACAGGACTCAGAGCGAGCTCCGATTACTTCTTATCCAGTAAAAATACCTATTACTCCCGTGCCTATCCGGACGCAAATTCCATGCCCTCTTCTAATCATCTTCCAAGCCTCAGCCCCCACAAAATCTCGGTTACGTCCATCTTGTGGGTAGGCCAAATCTATGTCCAAAACTCACACCGACGTACACGTTGGTGCATGAGTGCAGTCCCAGCAAACAGCAAACAATGCCTGACAACGAAAACTCAGGATGCCAGAGCGTGTTGCGCGCACCTGAGGCGGAATAATGTTGGTAGCCCAATCGAACGCGCCTTGTGTGTTAGGCTAAAAAGAGCTCATCCACATTAATGCCTCAGTTCACCGGGCCAAACATCTCGGGTCTGGTGACCGCGGTAACACAGTGAGAATTATGACAATATGGAATGCAAAACGGGAATTTTACCGTTTTTTTCGCCCAAGGATTGGCGCGATCACCCCAAGCTTAACAGGAACTTATGTTGTCAGTGAGTGAATGAAAAAATTTTTTCCTTTAAAATGAACGTTAAAATGCCGTGGCCACAAAGCGTAACTTGAAGTGTGCGCATTTTTCTTGGACACCCTACAACTCATAACATTGCATTATAGGCTGTTAGCGATGAGAGCTATTCGTGTGGCATTTGATTAGGCAACCCAGAAAAACTTGAATCACAATGAGATTCAGGCCTACTTAGAGCGCAATTGTAGTAGCACGTTTCAATTGATATTATGTAAAGCTGGTGAACGGGAATAGCTTTAGATACAAATCCTCTTCGGAGTGTAGTTATGCGATTCAATTTTGCAGCAGTATGTGGATGTCAAAGGGCACTATATGAGCATTTATATTTTCCAAATGTCAAGGCAAAAAGAGCTAATTATGAGATTTTGTCAACTAAGCATGATACAAGTAAGGCACTATAAGAAAGACTGAGGCCACCTATTTGTTCAGCAACTGACTTGATGTGGAAAAATTGGTAGCTTCTCATTAATGGGCTGAACATTTTTCTGAAGTTCGATATGCTACCGTTGAGAGCTTGTCTGTAAAGGCATGCACAGGAAGCTTTTCAGTGAGCACCCAATTACACATTCAAAGCAGGTAATCATAATGGAAATTTATCTCATAATTGATTAGGATGATGGTAGACCGAGTGCGCAACCTGAACATTAAAATACCATATAATATGAATATTTCAAATGAACAGATGGTATGTGACAAGTCTTGGGCCCCATCTGGAATACTGCGTCCAGGCTTGCGCGCCCTGCCTTGTTCGGGACAAAATGGAGCTTGAGAGGGTTTTGAGAGTCGGTACCAAATTGGTCGAGGGGTTACGGGGGCAATCGTACCCCGAGCGTCTACTTAGCTTGGGTATGTATTCAATGCACTACCGACGGCTTCGAGGAGACCTAATCCTTACTTACCGCATTTTAACAGGGAAGGTTGGGCCGGACTTGCGCTGGCTGTTTAGCCCGGCTAGGTTGCCTTGTCTTCGCGGTCATCCCATGAAGCTACACAAGCCGCGTTCTGACGGGATCAGGGCGGAAACTCGGTTATCGCGTAGAGTTATCGAGCGCTGGAACTCGCTTCCAGAAAATGTAGTCAGTGAACCTACGGTTAAGGGTTTCGAGCGTCAGTTAGACGCTCTTGGGTGGCAACACGAAACCTTTCCCTTCTCCTGACCATATCCATCTTCAAACTTTCAGTTCTTATTCTGTCATTATCTTCACTCTTTGGTGTTATCCTTCATTTTAATGACTTTCATTCCCCTTTATCTTTTCATTTACTTTCTACTTCTTTCTTACTTCACGTAACCTACACAGCGCGGACTGCTAGTACAGGGAACGTGGGCAGTAGTTGGTTGATCAGGGTGTGTTTCGGGTGTTTCGTTTTAGATCTATCAAGAACTAACACCTTATCATTTCCTGGCTCAACGATTTGCTCAAGAAGGAACACTCAAGGGATTTTCCTATCGTTCCAGTCCATCTGAATCTGAATCTGAATCTGGGCGACATTTAGCCTATAAACCAAAGGAGCAGCGTCTTTAGTAGTGTTTGCGACCATGCGTAGTTCGAGTCAACATTGTTTTAACATCCATGCGAGTGCACTGGTTACTCGACCGATCAGTTTTCGTATGATTATTTCTAAAGGCATCGAAGCATCTGGGTTACCATCACAAGCCTTTGTTTGCCTACCGCTGATCACACTACTGTAGCCAGCATATATCTGTGCAGTCTGTGCGCGGTGACTCCCAATTCTTCCCAGATGCCTCCGGAGAATAGGAGCTTTTGTTCACATCACGCCAATTACATACAGTTGCAGGAGACTAGATAACAATGGAGAGACAGAAGCTTGTTACTGATAAAAATGACTACCGTTAGCGTGATAGTATTCGCTGGACGTGTCGTGCGACAATTCGACTAAACATGTGCTGTTAGTTTAAAAGGAAAATGGTATTATAGATAAACGTGTAAGGTCTCGCATTTTAGTGTAACATATAATCGTTATGGATGTTATTTGTGATAGAGTTTAACATGTGTATAACCTGAACCCAAAAAGTTAGTGTGTTGCGGCAATGTAGTGCCCTTTTGCATCGAACATAAAACCTAGTACAGAAACACATGATTGATTGGGGAGTCATTTTGGAGTACACGTTGTATGGTTGGATTATGACAAGAAATCTCGCTGTGGACCATGATTCACATTGAAGTGAAATTCGGTCAGTTCAATCATTTGGACCGTACCTGATGAAGTTCATGATCATGACGGTTTATGTGTAGGATATACATGAGTATGTTAGTACACGGCATGACGTGAATATGTACTGCGTCCTGATAGTTAACATTTGTAAATCATGGCCGGAGACAAAAAGTAATCTTTATAAATGAACACTGAGAAATTATCCATTGCAGCAAACTTAGGAAGGACTTTGCATTTCAGAAAGAAATCTCTGCTACACAACTGGTATTCACGTTCTATTGTCCATGTAAATGCGTTTGAACACCAAAAAGTATGGAAAAGCTATTCCTTACAAAGCACTTAACTGGCAGATCTCAACCCTGATACTACGTAAACAATTTTTGAATTTCAACGAGACACATTTCACTACTCAATCTAGAATGGTTCTTGTCCCCCCAGAGACCCACTTGCCGGCTGTTTCACAGCCCAAATAATCCCATCTAAGTCTAGCTTATTTTGGTGGGGACGAAATTGAGTGTAATTCGCTCATCGATAGTTCTTGCAATCCTGAGATTGGCAAGCGTGAGTCATGTAAACCACAATTGTTTCCTCTATCCGTCCATGCAAATGCTTCTATCCTGAGGAGACAAATGTGTCCAAAAGTGGGGGAGTGAAGCAAAGCGGTTGGATTGGATGATGAAATACACAAGTAGGAGAAAAGAAAAAATCAGCTGCGTTTGCACTGAAATTTCCAACAAGTTAGAGAACATATGCTGAGTTGACTTAGTATCTTCATTCTGTTGTCTACGGTCATCTAGCTAGTGTGCACTGTCTTGGAGACAACCGATTTGTCAAGCCAAATTCGGTTTACATTGCTCAATATAACAAAAGGGAGTGCATATGCAATACTAGATGTACCCATATTGAATGATTCAACAAAACGGTTTACGCTGCATCAATGCATTCCCAGAAACAGCCTAGCCAATACTTGTTGCATTTCAAGGGTTGTAATTCACTGTCCATCATTGTGCCTGTTAATTGAAGCGCGATTCCTTTTGTCCTGCAGTGTAATTTTGCAGAGCATGTGTCGTGAACTTGTTGAACATACTGAATGACAATTTCCGCTGCTTCACTATTATCGCGCGTTGCACTCGGCCCACAAATTACCCCATCCGTCACGTGAAATGGGAAGATATCTTAAGAATGATGTGAGAAACTTTGCCACTGTAATTAGCCAACATCTTGTGACAAAATCCTCCGAATGGTTAATCCCTTTTGTTAACTCCTATAATTGCACGTTTCGTGCGCCATCCAGAGAACCTACGAGAGCAGTGCTTGTCAGTTGACTAGCAGAGGCGAAACAATAGTTATTGGAACTAGCTTAAAATGACCAGTATAACACACGTCGAATGGTTGCTGTTTATTTAATGGCGACTAGCCATACAGAATAAGTCTGTTGATTTGCGCATTAACTGACAATGTTCACGGCTTCCTACCATTCACAGGATGACAAATGACTACTTGGTTCTGCCACCGAGTTAGTGATGTGAAACGGCTGGTTTATAAAACGCACTTGAAAATGCTGCCGGTTTATTCATGCTTATTCACAAAGTCAAACTTTGGGTTTTCCCATCCAATACATTTCTCAGTGCCTACTAATCAAGCCACAGTCTGAGTCTAGCGGAAAATTTCGATTGATTTTTAATGACCAAGTTACGCATCTCACAGACTCATCATTGTCAGTTATGGTAATAATTTGAGTATAGTCTACGAAGAAAATGATGCAGTTAATTGCTTAGCTTTCAGGTTTTATAAACATGCCGTTCGGCTTCTACAGTACTGACCAAGCCAGGTAAGCAAAAGAAGGTTTGGTGCTAGACCAGAGCCATTTCCTAACTCAGGACCATTTTCTCTGAATTTTATGGGCATAGCGTACCCTATGGATAACAGTAGAGGTGGAAAAGTTTGTTCGAAACGGTTTCATCAATTGGGAGCTTGTTTCACTGAGAATGACTGTAGTCCACGAGTTCAGTTCATCGCCGATGTAAGAAGTGCAGTTTCACAGCCGGCGCACTCAATCAACACATGTGTATCCATAACATATCCAGAGTTTGACACTTGTGCGCACCTTGCGCTGACAACAATACAATTACTGACTACTTCTATGTTCGTTTGGGATCCCCAGGTATAGGCTACACCAATTGGCGTTCAAATGCGACGCGTAGTGATTTTCGATTAACCATCCTGTCCAATAAGCCGTTACACATCATGGACCATGTTTATGGTAATAGATATAAGTTGATTAGCTAGTTTTTATATTTGGTTCTGTTCCGGAGGGTGATAGTTTTGGTAAGACTCGCGGCGAGGACTGTGATTCACTTGAGAGGAAATCACTATTTCCGTCGAAACTATCGCAATTCATACACACACGCGCAAAACAGCGGCTAATCTGACGCAACACCAACTACTCACCGTTCAGTGCGTAAGCGTTAAACCTCTGCCTAGATCCTTTCAGTTCAGGGGGCGCAACAGTTTTGTGTTGTTAAAGTGTATTGGGTGTTTATTTTCAGTTTATAATACCCCGTTCTCAAAAATAGTTCGGTTTTAATTTGAACACTGGATAAAAGTAATTCAGTTTCCAACAGAACAATTTTACTCTTGGTGTGATTTTGGGTGGCAAGATGGCACAACACTGAAAATAATGGTGCGTCAGCTGTACGTCGTAACGGCGCTTCGCTGCCTTGCGACTACCATCCGTCGAACGCGGGCTGAGTATACCGCGAAGTCGCCCACTCTTACGCAGATTAGAACGCG